GGTGGTGTGGGTGTGGGTGTGGGTGTGGGTGTGGGTGTGGGTGTGCGTGTGGGTGTGGGTGGGTTTGGGTGGGTGTGGGTGTGGGTATGGGTGTGTGGGTGTGGGTCTGGGTGTGTTGGTGTGGGTGTGGGTGTGGGTGTGGGTGTGTGGGTGTGGGTATGAGTTTGGATGTCTAACCCTCACTCACACCCACACCCACACCCACCCACACCCACACACATAGTTCACGACTAGTAGCGATTTTTTTTCTCGCTTGATTCATCAATGTATTAACTTGTAAATCGAGTTCATTTGTATTTTCCAATCTATATATAAATAATTGCGATTTTATATGAATAATTTTTGTCTTACTTCAATGAATCATTCGTCTTTCCGCTGAAATGTTTATCAAACAGAACAGTTACTTCACTATTTAAACCAATAGAATAATTCTAAAATTAGATAAATGTATCATATTTTATTTAAAAAAAACATTGTGTTTACTTTAACATAAACGAATAAAAATTTATCACGACGTTTTAATTCAAGAGAAATGTCAACACCTTCATATTTATACAGAAAAGAAATAGAAGACGACATAAATATTTGATCATTTCTTGAATTAACCTCCTATACAAGAAATCAAATAGATTCATAGGAATTTTTTTTTCTTACCGAATAATTTTGAACAACAAATTTGTTATTATTTAATACATTGTTAAAATAATGAAAAATAATTTTTGTTTTAAGTACTTGTTGTTCTCGTTGAATATCTCCCATTTCGAAAAAAAAATCTAAAGTATTTGAAAAAAAATTAACAAATATTATATCTCTATAATATATATTTTTATTGAAAGGATATTCATGTAAATGTGTTCTTATGAACAACATGGTAATAAACAATTAACTTTAGTTGAACAATTATGTATTGCACGTTCATAACCAATTGATCTTTGAGTAGATTTTATTTATTCTTCAATTGATGTACGATAACTAACATAAAATATTCTTGAAAATTAATTTTTATTTGTACTAATTCATGTTCAACTAAACACCAAGTTCTAAATATATTTGATAGATCTGTTAATTCATAAGATATCATTTGCCATGGATGTGTATGTAAATGTTCAGGAGCATGACGTATATATATATATATCAATTTTTCCATCGAATGTAGTTTTTTGTTTTGTTGTTAATTGAAAATTATCATAAATATTTGATGATTGTTCATGTTGTTGTTCATGTTGTATATTCTATTTACGTTTTTGATAATTAAGCCATTTTATATATTGACTATTCGTTTGACCAAAGAATGATGATGGACCAAGAACAATTCTCGATTGACGTGTTAATGTTTTTTCATTTAATTCATCATGTTTACGTTTAGCTGATGATTTTTTTATAATTGTTATTGAAAATTTTATTTGTCCAGGTAGATCTTCAATATCATTATTTGTATTAATTAATTATTCTTCATTATTATCTATATGAGTTTGTTTATCAATTGAATTAAATACATCAGGTTATACGTTTGGGTTTAAATAAACTATTATTCTCAACTAAATGTTTATGTAACTAATCAGGATGTGGAACATGAGGAACAGGATTATATTGGTGTATTACGTGAAACATTAGCAATAACAAAACGACAACAAAGATCATTATCTTTAATAACATCTTCACCAAAAAATTCAATAAGTCTAACTTAAGAAAAAAAAAACAAAAGAAGATTTTTAAAAGCTTATTAAAAGATTTAAATAAACCTTTTTGTTCTCGATATTGATGTTGATTTTTCTTCATCATCATCTGATAACATTCTTGACATGGTTCTTCGTTCGAATATTAACTCAAATAATTCTTTATTTGATATATCTTTCGCAACATATTAAGTCAATCATTAGCAATTGTTGTAACATGATTATAACATTCGTCAAGTGTTGTTCCTTTAAGAAATGCTTCAATCATACTTGCTTGAAAAATTTTTATTAATTACAATTCACCATTATGTTTTACTTCAAAATCTTTTAATTCAACTATTGTAGCATCCATATTAAATACATAATAATGTTTTTTTAATACGTTTTCCTTCTTCTTTTGATGCTGGTAATATCATTGCTAAATAAGGATCATCAATTTAAAACAAAAATCGAATTTTCTGAATCAATTTCATACAGATGTTTTTCTTTATCAATTAATTCATGATATTGATCATTTGTATAATAATTTTTTATAAGTAAATTTAATAAATTACATGGATAAGATATAACAACTTTTGGACGTGATGGATCACGTGTAATTAATTCATAATTTTCAGGAAATGTTACAGGTAATACACATCATATACCATCCTAAATATTCAATAAGTAAAATAAAAAAAGTATACTTCGGACGGTGTCAAACATCTAGGTAATTTTCCAAGTATTTCTTCGACTATATAGTCTATATTCGAAATAATCAGAAGCTTCAGTTATGTTCGAGTTCGAATATTTTTAATTTTTGGGTGCCTTCAAACCTGTCACTTTTTGAATCATTTATTTTATTACGTATATACTTATAGCTAATCTCAAATTCTTTTTGTTACTTTTGATGAATTGACTTAACATGACCGAATCGGAACTCTAAAACCGAACCGAAACCTGAACGATCGGTTTCAGTGCATGTTTAGACTTAAACATTACTCTTTTATAAAGATAAGAATTGGAAAGTTTGTGTTTAGTTAAATTAACATCGATTTTACCGTATCAAGTTCGAGAGGTCTTCCAATTTGTTCAATTAGTTCTCGAGTTCATTTAATAATTGTTGAACCAATCATACATATAATTTCACCCATTTCCATTCGATGTCAACGAGCATCTAAATTATCAATGAATGCATTTCATATTTGCACAAATTTGAACAAACCTCTTCGCATAACATAACCATAAAATGAATTTAAAATACATTAATGTCTAAATTATAGTGAAACATAAATAACAATTAAATTATTACATCTTTTAACTCCATTAAAATCATTTTTTTTTAACTGCATTAGCGAAATTTTTTTTCCACTTTTAATATAAATCATTATATTCATAATGCATAGCATAAACATCGATTATAATATCATTTGGATAAATAAGCATAAACAGTATTTTCTCGTTCAAGTTTTGTTCCAACATAAAAATATGGTAGATAAATAAGTGAAACTTTAAACCGATCACTAATTTCACCAATAAAATAAAAATCAAGAGCTGAGATAAATCTTCGATGTTCTTCATCAAATAATTTACATCATTGTACATTTTTATAATCAGTTAATACATTCTACTGAAAACAAAGAAACGCTAGAATATTCTATCGAATATTCATCAACCAATAAATATTCAATGCTACAATCGTTTAATAGTAACTTAAGAATTTTTATTTTTTAATTTATTTCAATAAAGAAAAAAAAATCTAAAAAAAAAAAATTTTTGTTAATAGGATCCCAGCACAATGATTACGACCGCCGTAACCGTCAAAAACGACAACGCGTACTGTCGTTTCCGGCAGTTTACGGGTCGTATTTGACTCGTTTCATATGCGCAGTATTACGGGCGTATACGGCCGTACGTCTTGATGAAGAAGTACATCGAGTACAATCATATCTACATTCATCAACATTAGGGACATTAATTTAAAAAGTTGAAAAAGTACTTATTAAAGATCAACTTAACGTAATCTATACCGAAGCAAAAGCACTTTTACATGATGAAAGAAATTCAGGTAGATAGACAAAAACTTAATTTAGAAAATTTCACGTGTTTTATCGAGCATGAGGCGGTGCCTCTTCGAAAATTTGATTGGTCTTCTCGAAGTTTATGGCAATATTTTATTCAAATTTTCTCTTTCGAATGGGAAATTTAAAATTCTCGGAGAGGCGTTGCTACCATACCAGATAAAACACTCGTTTGTGCTTCCAAAATTTGAAAAGAAAATTTAGATAAAACACTAATAATCAACATACTCTTTTTGTGATTTATTTTTTAATAGATTCCAAAACTATATGTTGAAACAATTCTTGATATTCATACAAAATTCTTGAAATTTGTAAAAGAAGCTTTTAATAATGAACAAGATTTTACTGTTGCTCTTGATAAAGTAACTTGAATTTTTTTTTTTTGTTTATTGTTGTTTTATATTTGTGTGTTTTAGGCTTGTGCTAAATTTATTAATAATAATACAGTAACAATAGCAGCTGGTAATACAACAAAATCACCTGAATTATTAGTTCAATATTGTAATACACTTCTACGAAAAGGGTTTGTCGAAAGTTTGAAATCAATTATTGAAATATAATCAATTTAAATTTTATAGAAATAAAACTGTTGAAGAGACAGATCTCGAAGAAAAATTCAATCAAATTATGGTATTATTCTCTTTTTATTTTTTTGATTGTTTAGTTTGTTTGTTTTTTTGCCAGATGATTTTTAATTATATTGAAAATAAAGATGTATTTCTAAAATTTTATCGTAAAATGTTTGCTAAACGTTTAGTAGGTCAATTATGTGCATCTGATGATTAATGAAGAATTAATGATTTCAAAATTAAAAGTAACTAATATAATATAATTATTTGTTAATTGTAATAAATCTATATATTTAAATATCTATATTAGTTAACATGTGGTTTTGATTATATATTAGAATTACAACAAATATTTCAAGATATTCGTATTAGAAAAAAATTTAACTGATCAATATCGAACATATTATGAAAGAAATCATATTCATGATATTGGTATAAACAATTAAATTTTCTTTTTCTTTCTAAACTTGATTCCTTGTTTTTTTTTCTTTTTTTTTGTTCAGTTGATTTTTCTGTAATGGTTCTCAAGTCAAATTCATGGCCATTTTCTGTACCACCAAATTTTATTCTACCAATTGAAGTAAGATTTTATTTTCGGTATCATATTTATATTAACCTTTTTTTTTTAGCTTAGAAAAACATTTGCAAAATTTTATTATATTTTATAATCAACAACATAATGGTCGTAAGCTAATGTTACTTCATCAATATTCAAAAGAAGATTTACAAACACTGTATACTAAACAAAAATATATTTTACATGTATGTATTAATTTATTCTATGGAATGAATGATTTGTTTTTTTTTTTGAAATATCAAAGGTATCAACATATGAAATGATAATTTTACTTTTATTTAATGAACATTCGAGTTGGACTGTTGAACGAATGCAAGATGAAACACAAATCGATATTCATTTATTCTTACAAATTCTTTGTAATAATTTATTGAAAAGTAAATTAATTACATGTTCAGATATTAATGATAATAAACTTGAAGAAGATTTAAATGAAAATAATATTAAAACGAACTATAATATTCAGATAGCAAATGATTTTAAAAGGTCAGTATGCATCTGAAATTATCTTCTATGAATCCTATGAAGTCAGAAGATGAAAATAATATAACTAGAAATTTCAATCTATGACTATAAAAGATTCAATATTAAAAATTCTTAAATTTTTTTTTTGTTTAGTAAGAAAATAAAGATAAACTTGAATATACCAATAAAATCAGTCGAACAAAAAAAATATCGAAGGTTTATATCAAACAATTGATGACGATCGAAAAATTCTTATTCGAACTGCAATTGTTCGAATAATGGAACAACGAAAAACTTTAAAATATGCATTATTAATTCAAGAAGTTATTCATCAATTAAGTTTTCGTTTTCAACCTAATCAAGTAATTTATATGAAAAATACATTGAAAAATTTAATTTTTCATCGATTATTTATTCATGAAAATATCCAATTAAAATTTTCTTTTTTTTCTTTCTTCGTCTATGACAACAAGAACTTTCGTATGTTTTTTTTTCTGTTTTCTAATTTTTTTTGTATTCATCTATTTGGTTTACATAGTCGTTATTTCAACACTTGACTTACAAAAAAAAAAAAGAAAGTCAGATAAATCTATTCATCTCATCAAGATTTTTTCGTTGTTCCTAATTATCAAGAAAATACAATTTGTATCAGAGAAGGATGTAGGAGTGTCGATTTTAAATGTAAGATCCGCACCCACATCCTTATCGTTGTTTATATTCATTGATACATATTTGTCCTTAAAACATATCGTTAGTCACTAACCAACAGTTAATTTGATACAGTATAGATGATGAGAAAAGATAAAAAACATATCATGATTTCTTTACTAATCATAGTGTGTCAATCATATCAACATACTATTGATTATGGATGAATTTTATTTGTTCACATCCGACCGTTAATTATCGTCCACACTATCTTGTTTTCTTTCTTTTTGTTTTAGAATAGAAATGAAATGGAGAATAATCGAATAACTTGAGAAGAAATAGTATGAAACATATCATCATTGTAAAAAAAAAGTTTACCGAAGAATTCACACAATCGGTTCAACTCGATTATGTTGCATTTTTGTAGCTGCTATATAACAACAAGCTGGATGAGTAAGCTTACCATCATTCTTGGCAATGATGTTCGTTTAGCTACTTCATATCTCTATGATCTATCTATCACATAAGTTTATATGCGAGAGAGATTAACAATAGAGAGTAAGGAAAGGAAAGAAAAGACAATAGCGAGAGAATGATATCCATATCCGCATAGTTAATCATATTTTTCGCATCAATTCGAGCTAGTATGATCAATTTGTATTCTATATAATTCACGAAGAAAATATCAAATGAATGAGTTTGAAGTTGAATGCTTGCTAATAGACTGCTTAGATATGTTGGTAATAATCGAACTGTTCTTTTTAGTTCATGATTGATGATTTCAAAAAGAAAACGAAGAAAAATTGTTGATTTTATCAATTCAAATCAAATGCTTTTGTCATTCGTACCGTTTTTTTTTTGTGTTCAGTCATATTCAAACAAAATTGTACTCTATCAACTTCTTAATAACGGACAATAAAATTATTTTTTATTAAATTAACCATTGATATATTTAGTAACGATAAATCATAATAATTCATCAAAAATCAATAATAAACAATCCAATTTTCAAGTATATATGTGACTTTCGTTATTATTTTTTTTTGTTTGTTATCTATAGATATCTTTTGATCATGAATCAACTATAATTATTACTAAATTTAATAATTTATCTTAATCACTCTTAATTGCTTATTGTCAAAATTTTGGTAAAGTTAGTCAATGTTTAATCGAAACTTCTATAGACACTCAAAATAAAGATCTATGTAAGTTCTTTATTATCTAAATCAAGGTTATAATCTTGCTTTTTTTGTGCCAGCAAAAATTCATCTTTACGATCTGCTATTAATGTTGTTGCATGAGAAATGAAATTTTTGTTGAATTCGATAATCTACTAAACGTTATGTTTTTTTTTTACTGTCAATTTGAGATACCGAAAGAAATCGATGATTTTCATTTTGAAAATATCTAATTGTTCTTATATTATAATTGAGAATTATTGCATAAAAATAAATTCACTTACACTAAACAAATCATTGATTAAATTACTTTTTTTTTTTCGTAAAGTCAATATAGATTATTTGATATTATGATAAATTTTTTTTCTTAAATTTAAAGATTAACTTTTCTAATTATTACCAAATAATTATTTTCATTTTAGATGCTCTAATCAAATTTACAGAAACATCAAGTGTTACTTCTATTCTTAGTCATCCTAATCATATTATCAATGGTATACACGTTTCAATGGAAAATTATCCTTGTGATATAAATTCAATACAAAAATCATCAAGTTTAAAATCGTTAACCAAACAAAATCAATCTAAATCGAATAATAATCATGATAAGAAATCAAAACGAATAAATTACAATAAAATAATGCGAGAAAATCTTACACTTAAACATGACATAGCTAATCTTAATCAGGTATTAATTGAAGCACAAGCATATGCTAAAATAGCATGTAATGCATACACGTAACGCTCGTCGGTTCGACTCGCTTAACCCTCGACTGAATGGGTTAAGGCTATTTATTATATACCATTTTACCTTGTTAACACAATTCGTAGTAATGTCAAATGTATGTGTCCATATGTGTGACAGTAATGTTATGAGAATTTTTGATAGTATAATGAGTTTACAATTATAGTGATTTTGAGAAATAAAATTGGCATTGTTATCCACTATATGACGAAAGAAAGTGTTCTGAAAAATAGTATGGTAAAAATTCTTTCTTGTTCATCCCGAAGTTAAAAAAAATACCATTAATCGTTCTTTCCTAGATAATACGTAAAAAGACTGATCGGTTAATGAAAAATAATAATGCAAGTAAAACCATGCATATTAAAATCTGTGCCAACGTATAAAGTCATTTCACGGCACAAGTATCACTCTATCACGCGACGACAATAATGTGAAATATATTGTTTGTAACTGGTAGTAAGTGCTCATACTTATGCTCGACTGTCTGTTACGTAGCTCAATCAAGACATATTAATAATACCATGCGAAAGAAAAAACTATCGCAGATATCAATCACATTTATATTTTTTTATGAATATCTTTTCCGTCAGGCTTGTGCATCATTCTAGTTGTGTTGTCTCACAAAATGATTCAATGAATATTATGAGTTTATACTAGAGTCGTAAATATTTATTTTAAATGTTTCATAGGCAACGAATAATACAAGCATATTGAATTTATGAGCAAAACAAACGACAATGCAATTAGATGACAAGAATGGCTCAATAAACATATAATTCTAATCAAAAATTTACCATACTTTGCTTTCTTTCTAATTCTATTACGCCTCGTCGATCCTCACATAGCTATACACAGAATCAAAAAATAATATTTTTATTTACTACGAGGTGTACATTACAAGCGATATCTCCCTAACAATCGTTATCATCCTCTCAACAAAGCATCCACACTCAAAAAACAACTCGGTCAGACACAATATTTGCTAAAAAAGATCAATTTCTTTGCTACCTATAAAAGCGATTTCTTCGGTCTATAAGATAGAGAATTGGACTCTCTACAAAGCCATGCTATTGCTGAAGAGAGATGGATAAATCCAGCTCCGGGAATATCTAATGGAAAACCATGGACATTCAAAAAATTACACGACCAGAAACAGTATTTGCAAAAAATCGTCGATTTGTTTGCTAGCTATATCAGCGAGCTTTTCGGTCTATAGGATAGAGAATTAAATTCTCTACAAATCCGTGCTATTGCTGAAGAGAGACGGATAAATCTAGGTGAGGAAATGCCGAATGGACAACCATGGATTTTCAGAAATAATATCGGCCGAGAACAGTATTTGCTAAAAATGGTCGATTTGTTTGTTACCTATATAAGCGATTTTTTCGGTCTATCAGATAGAAAATTAGATTCTCTACAAAGCCATGCTATTCCTGAAGAGAGACGGATAACTCCAGATGAGGAAATACCGAATGGACAACCATGAATTTTCAGAAATAATATCGGCCTAAAGCAGTATTTGCTAAAAATGGTCGATTTGTTTGCTAGCTATATAAGCGATTTTTTAGGCCTATAAGATAGAGAATTAAATTCTCTACAAACCCATCCTATTGCTGAAGAGAGACGGATAAATCTAGGTGAGGAAATACCGAATGCACAACCATGGATTTTCAGAAATAATATAGGGCTAAAACAGTATTTGCTAAAAATCGTCGATTTCTTTGCTACCTACATATGCGATTTTTTCGGCCTCTACGATAGAGAATTAAATTCTCTACAAAGCCATGCTATTGCTGAAGAGAGACGGATAAATTTAGGTGAGGAAATAGCGAATCGCCAACAATGGATTTTCAGAAATAATATCGGCCTAGAACAGTATTTGCTAAAAATCGTCGATTTCTTTCCTACTTATATACGCGATTTTTTCGCTCTCTCAGATAGAGAACTAAATTCTCTAAAAACGCGGGCTATTGCTGAAGAGAGACGGATAAATCCGGCGCCGGCAATACGTAATGGAAAACCATGGACATTCAAAAAATTACACGACCAGAAACAGTATTTGCAAAAAATGGTCGATTTGTTTCCTACCTATATAAGCGGTTTTTTCGGTCTATCAGATAGAGAATTAGATTCTGTACAAAGCCATGCTGTTGCTGAAGAGAGATGGATAACTCCAGATGACGAAATACGGAATGGGCAACCATGGATTTTCAGAAATAATATCGGCGTAAAACAGTATTTGCTAAAAATGGTGGATTTATTTGCTTGCTATATAATCGATTTTTTCGGTCTATATGATAGAGAATTAAATTTTTTACAAACCCGTGCTATTGCTGAAGAGAGACGGATAAATCTAGGTGAGGAAATACCGAATGGACAACCATGGATTTTCAGAAATAATATCAGCCAAGAACAGTGTTTGCGAAAAATCGTCGATTTGTTTGCTACTTATATAAGCGATTTTTTCGGTCTATAATATAGAGAACTGAATTCTCTAGAAACGCGTGCTATTGCTGAAGAGTGACTGATAAATCCGGCTCCGGGAATACCTAATGAAAAACCATACGCATTCAAAAAGTTACACGGCCAGAAAGAGTATTGGCTAAAAATGGTCGATTTGTTTGCTACCTATATAAGCGATTTTTTCGGCCTATGCGATAGAGAATTAAATTCTCTACAAAGCCATGTTATTGCTGAAGAGAGACGGACAAATCCGGCTCCGGGAATACCTAGTGAAAAACCATGCAGATTCAAAAAATTAGACGACAACAAAATAGTATCTGCAAAAAATCGTCGATTTCTTTGCTACCTATATAAAAAATAACGTTCGTCGTTTGGAGTTACTTGACCGTCGACTGAATAAGGCAGAAATATTTTCTCTGTATGTGTCGATGGCGATAGAAACAGAGTAGCAGTTCACTTTCTGAATAGCGACGTAAATTTCACTTCTGGAATTCTAAAAGTGTAAGAAGGCGTTTTGTCTTGTTGTAAAATGTTTTAAAGTAAGCATTGCTTTGCAACTAAAACTTGTCAAATTATTCATTTCCAAGGCGATTTTAATTAATAAACTCTTCTAGCGTTATAAGCTCTGTGGTATTATGAAATGTAAATATGATGAAATACGGTGATTTAGATTGGTTATAGATGCTGATAGGGTGTGAGTGTGGGTGTAGAAGACAAAAAGTACAGGATCATACCCACACCTCAGGCTCACATCTCACCAATATTCACACCCACCGGTACACTAGAGCCCGACGAGTACTAAGGGTTCTAATAGTTCCAGGAGGTCCAAAAGTTGATAGCGCTGAAGATTTCCCGTCCGTTGTTTGTTGAAGAGTTCTGAGTTCCTAAAGAGTTCTGAATCTCTGAATCCGGACACATTTTGCTTTTGAAAGTCTAAATTCACTGTTATACTTGAGATATGAGAACTCAATGAAGAGTAAGAACCCGCAAAGGCCTTTGATGTTTCAAAACCTGGACAATTCAAAGGATATAAATCATTCACAGTTTCTTTTATTTCTCAAAAGCTTCGAAATATAAGTGCGTCAATCAATTTCAGGTTAAAATCATTTAAATTTTTATGAAAATTGAATTAAACTCTCATAAATATATTCTCATTATGATATCAACTTATCTGTATATGTTATACTACATTTGAACGATTTGCACTGAACTATTCGAGTGAATTTTCATTGTAACATTATAGCATCGTTCGAGTCAAGTTTTAGATATTGAGCAGATAATGTCTGACGTTGCTGTGGGTGTGGGTGTGGGTATCAGTCATTCAATAAGATTATGCTCGCACCTACGCCCACAATCATTGACACCCACTCCACACACGCACAACCTCACTACACCCCACACCCACACCCACACCCACATACACACCCACACCCCACACCCACACCCACACCCACACCCACACCC